TGTTTGTCACAATGCGCTATTATCCAAGTCATCTTCAAAACATTCCTCTTCAAAATGTTGGCTACATATTACGTGTTTTTTTTTTCTCTGGCCAGAAGTTTGATGGCAAATCCTCCCTCATCAAGTTGGCGACCAGTCCGTGGTGGATCATGAATCAGAAAGGTGAAATAACTAAACTTCACTTTTACCCGATACTTGGGCAAAAATGGCCGTTCCTGGACACAGTGATTGTGACAAAAAATATTGGTTTTATTTTTTTACTGCTTAATGCTAAAATCATTAAATCACTGCAAACGTATTAGTAGATAATGATTAATTGATCATTCCTTGCTGACTGGACTGCTCCTTAAATGTTCTATTTTTAACAAAAACAAGAATCTGGAAGTGGAGAACTGAAGGAAGTTAGTTGAACTTTCTGGTTAGTCTGAGGGAAGTAAGCAGACTGACCAGGAAGGAGTTAGTTGGTGGCAACTGATGGCTGATTGATTTGCTTACCTGAGGGTTGGAGGGAAGGTGGCATGGATCTGTAGGGGTTTGATTCAGTGGGTCTTGCAGACGGAATGTTAGTGAGATCCGAGAGCGTCGGTACTTGCTAGAGACATGTTGATGAATGGGCAGGCAGGTGATAAACACATTAAACATTTCAAAAGAACACGTGTAATTTGTTTAGTGTTTCGCCAAATAGTTGCATTATCATTTAAAATCTAGTCATTAACCCTGTAATGCCAAATGTATCATATTTGATACATACGGTTTCTGAAATGTTTTGCGTCTGACGCTTTTTGCATAATTTAATGTTAAAAACTTTGCTAAAAATCATATTGTACACAATCAGATATACCTGATAACAGCCAGTAGAAGACTACACAAAAAATAATCTTGACTTTTTGCATAGTAATAAATTATTAATATCAAAAATGTATTTCTGTTTTTTCTTTTTACATATTTTGTTAAAATGCCAAATAAGGACTTTAAACCAAAAAAAAAAAGTAATTTTCTGTTTTGTTTTATTCCTGGATTGGGCTTTAAAGGGTTAATGGCTACACTGTATTTACATTGCAGCAGCCTTAATTGGATGATAGCTGATGACAGTGTTGTATATTTATACAACACTGTCATCAGCGTACAATTATAAGTGACCATGAAACAAGCAGGCTTCAGGAAAACTTAACTAAATTAAACCAATATACCGGTAACAAAAATCAGAGGGCCCTGTTTATATACAGATCTTAACCATTTCTTTTATGTCATTTTTAAACAGTTATTTGATATATTTTGTTGAGATGAATATATTGCATTCTGATAAGTTGTAAACAACCGCTTGGAATTACTTACTTCAAGTCCTACATCACCTTAATCTAATTTTGCCTGGATCATCATCTAGAAACTCCATTACATTTTTTTATAGTGCTGTTTCTGAAACCCAGGCTGCATTGAATCTCAAGAAAAAGGAGTAATATTCAGGTGCTGAATTATTTCTTAAGAATTTCTTTTTTACATAGTTACCCTGATGCTTTATCAGCTTTGTTGTAATAACCCCTTTTAAATATTTTACACTGCCCCCATTTCACCACTATGATTTTCTCCAGTCTTGTACAATTGCTTCTCAAAGGCTGTCTGTTCATTTCTCACTCAGGACTGAATGTCTCTTTTAGCTCAGTGATTGATACCTCCCCTCAAGCTATAGAAAAGCCCTCCAAGCAGCAAAACCATTTAGCCAGCAGCCTGAGTGATATTGATCCACAAAGTCTGAAATGAGGGAAATTGAATAGCACCGCAGCTAATTGTATAGTAATGAAGGCAGGAGGGAAATAGGCCCACACATTGTTAGTGTTCTCTCACTTTGACCTTGATTGCATGGAAAAGACAGATTTGGAGGCTGATAGACAAAACATATTCCAGCTAGGATGTCATTTGCTCCTCCAACAAATTACAGAAATCAATATTTTGGGTTTGGTGCAACTTGAAATATACTCAGTACACCAAACCCTGATAGGTTATACACGTGGAGATTTGTTCTGCCGTAATTGGGAGCTGTTCCTTTTCGCAACTGGAGTAGATACACATAAAAGACTGTTATGGATGGAAAAAAGGATCTGGCACAATGAGTAACTGCATGCAGTATTGATTTTGTGAGCAGAGGATCACTCGTAGATTTGCTCATGTAAGACTAATGAACAGATTATTGATTTGATGTCTGCTCATCAAAAAGTGGGAGCACCGCCAGGCTCTGTGATAATTTGACATCTGCTCTTCTTTTTGAACCCACCATGGCACCTGCATCTGCAGTGTCGTTCACAGTACGGTACACTGACTGCAGGCATCTGGAGCTGTTAACCTCTTGTGTGTGTGTGTGTGGGGGGGGCATGGTTGCTGTCTACCACTTGGTGGCAGAATTGAGCTGCTTACTGATGAGAATGTGACAAGGGCAGACTGCTCACAGGGAGGTGGTAATACTTCTAGTGATGTGGCAAAAAGCAGAGCTTCTGTCAAGGGGGTACGGTAAATTACATTGCAGCATCATAATGCAGATAAGAGTGTAACATTTGTCTCTTATATATTACCTCCTATGAAAACACATCTTTGCACTGGATTTAAGCAAAAATTGCGCGATTTCTTGCAATTTTTTTTTTTTTATACTCCGATGTAATTTCAGTCTATAGATTTGTGACTATTTGAAGTATATATTTTATCTATACATGTATTTGGGTCTGAAAAGGGAAGCAATATATAAATAAATTTGCTCTTAAAAAGGCTAGGTTTTTATTAAATCCACAAGTTGCTGTTGTTTAATGGGAAGTAAAACAAGGCAGAAAGCCTTCTCTCATTGTGCCTACAGGTCCGAGTTGCATTTATTTGATTGTGCCGACATTTATCAGGCATACTGACCATCTCTAGCAGAGTCCAAAGAGGTCTGTTAGACAGCTGTAGCCTAATTGCATTAGGCTCATTGCTGACTCTGGTGAAGCACTGAGTGCCACGGGGGGG